GTGGATTCAGCCTTAGAGAGAGTGATTCCACTGGGGAGGCCACCTGTGAAAATAACACAAGACAGATGGAGACCCAGGGCCAGAGGGCCGCTGAGACAGGCGAGGCCCAGTGTCTCCATGATCTCGCAGCCTGGGTGGGCATAGACTGGGGTTCCAGAGCATGAAGCTGCACCTCAGGACACAAAGGGGGTGGAAGCCTCCCAGCTCCATCCCCGCTAAATGGGTCTGGGATGCCAGCAGCTTTACCAACCATCCCCCCTTCCCTCTTCACACACCCACCGCCCAGGATGAAGTCCCCACAAGACTGACACTCAGACAAACCTAGCCCTCTGCTTTTGGTCTACAGCAGGAAGGTTGAAAAGGGAAGAGAAAGCCTGGCACAAATTACAGGTGGGTGGTGTCTTCCCAGACCCAGTGGCTGTCCCTGAAGAGCAGCTGCCAGCCTTCCAATCTCCCCTGAAACCGTCCGCCCCCTTCCTTACATGCCTATGTCAAAAAGCAAACATTTCAAACGCCTTGGCGAGCTGAGGCCATGCAAGAGGCAGGCAGGGAACGCTTCTCAAAGTTTGGGAAAGCATTTCAAATATGCGGTGCAAGAAAGCGCTCACTGGGAGGCAAGGGGCGGGCTCTCTGGGTGGCTGTGACCCGGCCTGTCCCACTCACCTGGAACAAAGGCACCGGACCCCAGAACCCCAACCAGCCTCAGCCTACTGGCACCTAAGGCATAAAACCTCAGGTCTTTACTTACCCACCTTCATCCCACTGAGAGTCAGATAGCGACCCAGGCGAACACAAGTTCCCAAGATGCCAACCACAGGCTCCGAGACCCCAGCACCTTCTCAAGACATGTGGCTCTGCCCACCCTTCAACGGGTGCTTTATCTTGGTGTGTCTATCTCCCCCCAGCTCATGTTTTCAGTTAACAATAGGTCCCCATCAACCAACCTTGCCCAACACCCCCAACCCCTTTTTTGGATGGGGGTGGGGAGGAGGAGTGAGGAGACCTTCACTAGCACACAGGGTTCATTTTCACCGGTGAGCTGGGAGCTCTGTTCACAAGCCTCCCCCTGCACCAGCAGCAACCCCCACGCAGTCACTGGGTAAAGGGAAGGGGACGGACCCCCGAAAGATTTATGAGCCAAGCTCAGAAGTTCCCAGGACCCTGTGTTTTCTTCTGTGTCTGGCTTCTGATCTTCATGTCTTGGTGGCAGGAGGGTCAGCAGCATAAGTGAGGCCCCATGGCAGCAGCCCTGGCTATGCCCAGATGGGGAGTGCAGCATAGCCCTGGCTGCCTGGTCATTTTATAGATAAAGAGACCAAGGCCAGGGAGGGGAAGCAGTTTGTTGACACAGAAAGATGTGACTTTCTCATTCCTAGCCCAGTGCTCCAGCAATTCCTGGACAAAAGTTACAGGAAGATTTGCATCTTCAGGGATAGGTCACCTATTCCAGAGCAGTGATGGCCTTTTGACCACAGACCCAAGCCCAGCCTTCGAGAGGCCCCGGCACGGCTGGCAGGAGGCAGGCAGTCTCTCTACCTGGAAGCTGTGAACGTGCGGTGGAGCCTCAGAGGCTACACAAGATGGCCCATTCAAGGAGGCCACTCTGGCTGCAGCCTCTCTGGGGCTGAGAATGTATGGGACGCTCAGAGGCCATGGGGGTCTCTCCGGGTAGCCCATATCTGTCATAACTGGACTGTGCTTAGAGTCAGAGGCCACTCAGCCAAAACCCGCCAGGGATGCAGCGCTAATTCAATGGGAAGGTGTCTGCCATGGTATTCGGGCGCTTTCATTTTATTTGCGACATCTTTGTGATTGGCCCTGCGATATCTTCTGACTGGGTCAGGAAGGTACAGGGTTATCAGACAGACTTCGTGCAAACTGCATTTGCGTGGTCTGCAGAGCCGCCCCAGCCCAGAGTCCCTGCAGCCTGTGGCAGACACTCTGACCCTTCCATCCTCAACCTCCTTTTCCCTTCCCTTGAAAGGCCCAGAACCTCCTGAGGACCAGAAGGCAATAGGAAAAGGTGGCAGATGAGTGGATCAAGAACAGCCAATGTCCTGGGCACGTGCTTTTTGTACACTGGGCAGCAGACGAGCAGGGTGGCTGCCAAGACGCAAAACTGTTGGCGAGAACGTTGGCTGTTCACAGCATGTGCTGTGGAATCTTCCCACTCTGCTGGGAGCAACAGATGCCCCAGGAGCCGCTAAGCCCCCAGGCCTGAGGTCCACACAGGCACTGCAGGAGGCTGGAGTTGCAGGAGACTGGGGCTGCACAGAGCTCTGAGCCAGCTCACAGCACAAGGGGCTGCCCGGCCTTCTAGCACTTACCGCACCTATGCCTGTCCCCACTGAGACGGAGGAAGCCTTGAGTGACAGGGTCCTCAGATGAGTCCCACAGTCCCCAGGCCGCTACACACTAAGGGCCTGGTTCTCCACTCTGCTGCCGCTGAAGACCTGAATAAAGCTCCAGATACAGTCCTCCAGCTGCCCACGTTCCCCAAGGAACGGAAAAGCCCCCTCCCGATAACCTCCACAAGGGCCACTCACTTGGGTTTCCGGCCCCCACACAGCAGGACTTCTTTAAAAAGGCTTCCTAAAGGTGCAAAAGCCCCGCGTGGTTTCAACAGCAGGGCTGGGGGCTCTCAGCCACACCGTCGCTCTCCTTTATTTTCCGTGTGTCTCTCAGGCCTCGCCACTAACAGGACACCAACGGTTTCAAAGCTTACGAGGAGGGCAAGCTTTCAGAAAGACTTCTTTAAAACGTCTAGGGAAGGGAAAAAGCCAGCTCGCTTAGGGTCTGGAATACGCTCCTCTTCTCCTGGGGCAAATAGCATGAAGCGAGCAGAAGTAAAATGAAACCGTCACGGTAGACGCGGGCAAGGAGCTTGGGCCACCTTCTTCTGCAGCTTGGAGAGGGTCTCTCCCCACCCCTACTTCCTTAACTTCCTCCTCCTGTTCACTCAACCAAAGCCCGCCTGGCCTGGGGCCTGCTGAAAGTCTAGCACCCGGACGCCCGGGCACCCGCACATTATGAAAAGGAATGAAACAGCCTCCAAGTTTTAACTGTGTGCCACCTCTGGGGCCACACATTGAAAGAGTCTGTGTTGCACATATGGGGAAAATTATTATGCTTTAAGCTTCCCCTAATTCTGTTTCAACACAGCGTAGAGATAAAGTACCATGCTTAAAACAACAACAAGAACAACACCCGGGCTACGTTCAGCGCCACGGCATCGAGCAAAATCGCCTTTAGCAAAATCATCAGGTCTTGAAACGTTAAGCTCACAAAGAACTTCAGCATTGGCAAGGTACAGCTCACCTGCCGGGGTGGGAATTGATGAAGCTTTGGTCCCCAAATTCACACATACAGGCCAGCAGGGGAGTGGTGGGCTTCAGCCATTGAAATAGATAATAAAGCCATTTCCTCAGCTACTTTTCACAAAATCTATGTTGCTATTAAAAATGTAAAAGATGAGATATTAACATTGAAAAGAAAAATAGTCTCTATTATTTAACATATTGAAAAACTTGAATTTAGAACTCTAAAGGCATCATCAATTATTTTTGAAGGGTAATGAGATTTCAAAATTTTTCACTGCGATGAGGGTATAGATTTAGACATGACATTGAGAAGTAACGAAGTCTGAAATTCCCCTCTGATCTGGCTGCTAAGAGGGACGGATATTAAATGCTGGAAAATCCATCCCCTTCAGACCTTCATTGGCCCAGTTTAAATTCTCTGGAACACCATTAAAGCAGGCAAAGAAGCTCAAATTTTATAAAATCGGGGGAAAGCAGGACTCACCCTGGTTTGCAGTTAGCAAATGGGAAATGTTTATTCTTCCCCTCCTTCACCTCTTAAATTGGGGACGGCTGGACACTGAGATGGAGTGGCACTGTTTTGACAGTTAGCATGTTTTTCTGCATTTAACAAAATGCATCACAGCAAGCTCACGGTCGGGTCCTTCAGGCAGCCCCCTCCAACTGGGCAGTTTCTCGAAAAGAAAAAAATCCTAGAGTGGGATTTTAAAATTAATCAAAAGCCTTTTTCTGTCACTAAACAAGACAGCAGGTGTGTGCTCCTATTCTCTGGTCATTTTTATGTGTCTACACATATACCCACCTGTGTAACAAAAATAATCAAAGCAGGCGGGTTTGCAAACACACCTCGTTTTTAAAAAATGCAACAACACAAACACTGTCCAAACTTTGGGCAGAAAAAACAACATGGGTTTATTTTAAGGTAAGTACAACAATTAAGACCACATAAGACAAACATAGATGAAGTTAGATTTTCTAAGTGTTTTTTTTTTCTTTTAGGAATACTCAGGGTGGAACCTACTATACAAAACCATCACACTTTGTAAATAAAAAGTATCAGATACTTGACTTCTTTATCCACCAACAAAAAAATAAATTATTTTCTTGTTTTGTAAAAGACCTACAATGGGAAAAAGAATTATATCTCATAATTGTACAGGAAACAAAACCCACATCGGTTTCTTGAATTCAATTTGGCAGTTAGAAATTATTGGGCAAGATGAAAAAATTATCCAGTGAACTCAACTTTAAATATTATATTAATGGCTCTGAACAACAACAACAACAACAAAATAGCCTGATTACAAATCCACACATTTGTACAGCACGGTTGGAGAAATTTAAAATTACACACAGCACATACATTATCTATAGACACCCCCATACACCTATGGGGACCCCTACAGAGAGTCCCCAGGGGCTCGCTGTGGGATTTGGTCCATAACTTAACTTTTGAAAGCTCAGATAGAGCACAGCACAGCCGTCCTGGTAGGGGAGGAGGATTTTAAGACCAATACTCATTTTTGTTGGGCTGCGTCCCTTTGGAGGGGGTTTTCTGGGATCCCAGAAACGGGGCGGCGAATTAAAGTTACCTGCGCGCTTCACAGATGGCTGGGGGCTAGCGTGCCCGCTCTCTGCTCCCGGGTCTGAGAAAAAGTTGGAGGACATGTTTTGTTTCTTTTTTGCGTGTCTGCAACCCCTTAATTGTCTGGTTGGGTCGGGGCTGAGAAGCGAAGCCGGAGCGGGCCGGGGAGGGGAGGTTCCGGGACAGGTCAGTATTTCGTGCAGTCATAGGAGTAGGGGGCTGCGTGGCGGTAGAGAGACGGCGTGGATCTGTAGGGTAGCTGACAGCTGGCATTGCCACTCACCTGGGACTCCCCGAGGGTCGAGTTCTCAATCCCTAGCCGGTGGGAGTTGAACATCTCCCTCACGTTGGGGAAAGTTTGCTGCTGGGCCGCGAACGTGTGGCCGGGGAGGTGGTTCAGCTCCCCGCTGTGGTTGAGATACCAGGAGGCCGCCTGGGCCGCGGCGGCCCCGGGCTGCGGCGTCGGCTGGGGCTGGGGAGCCGGCGGGGGCGGCGGCGCCTGCGGGTGGTGGTGGCCGTGGTGCTGGTGGTGGTGGCCCGCGGCGGCGAGCGCGCCCTCCTGGCCGGCGGCGAGGTTGAGAGCGCTCAGGGGCGACGTGGGGCCGCTCGGGTGGTCCGAGAGGGCCTCGTCCAGGGCGGGCGGGACACACATGTGCGCCGGCCGCTCGGCCCCGGTGTACAGGCTCATGGCTCGCATGCTGCACTGGTAACCCCCGGCGGCCCCGGCCTCCAGGCCCTGAGCGCACGGCTGGCCGTAGGCGGCGGGCGGCGCGGCGGCGTAGGGCAGCGCCAGCGGCGGCACCACCAGGCCCGCGCGTCCGGCCCCCGGGCTCAGCTCTCCACCCGGCGGCGACGTTCGCAGGGTCATGATGTTCTCCACGCTGAAGCCAGGCAGCCCGTTGGGCGCCGCGGCGTGGTGCTCGGGCAGCGAGCCGTCGGGGGAACCGGCGGGCGTGGAGGCCGCGCTGCGCGGGCTGCCCTGCAGCGCGCTCTCGGGGCTCAGCGTCTCCACCTTGGTGATGACCGGCAGCGCCGGAGACGCCGCCTCGCTCTTGATCACCACCTTCTTCTCGGCTTCCTTGGGAGCGTCCGCTAGGTGGGGGGCGGCCGGGGCGCCCTTGGACGCCGCCGGGGGCGGCTCCTTGAGGTGGGCCCGCTCCTCCTTCTCCTTGGACACGTCCTTCTTTTTGAAGCGCCGCCGGCGCCGCAGGAAGCTGCCGTTCTCGAACATGTTGTAGGAGTCCGGGTCCAGGGTCCAGTAGCTGCCCTTGCCGGGCTTCTTGTCGTCGCGGGGCACCTTGACGAAGCACTCGTTGAGCGAGAGGTTGTGGCGGATGCTGTTCTGCCAGCCCTGCTTGTTCTCCCGGTAGAAGGGGAAGCGGTCCATGATGAACTGGTAGATGCCGTTCAGGGTGATCTTCTTCTCGGGCGCGTTCTGGATGGCCATGGTGATGAGCGCGATGTAGCTGTACGGCGGCTTCACCAGGTCCTTAGGCGCCGCGGGCTGGTGGTGGTGGTAGGGTGCGTAGGAGCGGCCCATCCCCGCGCTGTACTGCTCCGGGTGGCCCGAGTAGACGCCCATGGGGCTGGCCATGCCGCCGTAGCTGCCCGCAGCCCGGTAGTAGTTCTGCTCGCTCAGGTAGGGCACCACTCCCAGGGCGTTGGGGTCGGACACGGAGTAGCGCGCCTGCATGCTGCTTCCGAGACGGCTCGCCGGCGCCCGCGCGCACGGACTGCGGCCGGGGGAGCGAGGGGGGCCCCGAGAGCGAGAGAGCGCGAGAGAGCCAGAGGGGGAGAGGAGGGGAGCGGGAGGGGCGGCCCTGGGCTCCTGGCAGCCTCCTGGGCGAGGGGGCGCGGGCGGCGGCGCTTGAGCCGAGCAGGGGCGCGCGCTTTCAGCGGACCGGGCAGATCGGCATCCTGGAGGGCGCGCCCCGGGCGAGCACAGCGCCAGCCCCGCTCCTCGTTGGCTCCAGGACCTGGCGGCGGCAGCGCGGGCAGTCGGGCGGCCGCGGACCCAGCGGAGATGCCGCGGCCGGGGGACCCAGGTGGACCCTCGGCCCGCGCGACGAGGGGCGCAGGAGGCTCTCCAAGCCCCCAGCAAATCGGCAGCCCCGAGGGTCAGCGCGCCGGGGTCCGAGCGGCGGCCCCGCCGAGCCCGGAAAAAGAGGCCAAGTCCCTTTTAGGGATTGGGAAAAGTTTCAAAAGTCTTCTTGCTGAAAGCGAGTTTTTACTTTCCTCGGGCCACGCCCCCTCCCGGAACTTTGAGCCAATCACCCGGCAGCTGAAGGGAGTCGGCGCCAATCAGGGCGAGGAGCGCAGGAATCCGTCGGCTCTAAGACCCGGCCGCCTATACCTCCGCTGCGACTCCGTCTTCACTTGAAAAGACTTTTTAAAAAGTTATATCTTATTAAAATTTATTTTATGATCACATTTTGGTGAATGGACCCACATGCCCAGAACAAAAAATAGCCACTTTCCTCTGTTAAAAAAAATCACTTTGAAATATAAAATAGAATGGATTAATTGAGTAAAATATCTCCCCCAAAGACCTTGTAAGTAGCAATGATCCTGGGACATTTTTCTTATTAATGAGTGATGAAGCGAATAATTAGATTTCCTAATTATGGGGGCCCAGGTGTAATGGATTCGAAGCAAACGCGCTGGTTTGGAATGGCAGGGCCTCCCCTGGATGTTATACTTATTTAATCAAATAATTAATCATCAGCAGGGAGTTTCCAGGCTCGAGGTCGTCAAGGATAACCTATCAAGGTTTTAGAGGCAAACCCTAGAAACTAAGTTTCTCTCGCCCCCCGCCGAGGAGCCAGGCCGCGGGGTGGATAGAGGGGAAGGTAGCAACGTGCTGACAATCTAATCCTCTGAATTCGCTGTGAATTCGGTAAATCATCCGCTTCACTGCGAGCAGTTTTGTGGGGTTTGGGGAAAAGGGTGAAGTGACTCTGCTATTTCCCCCTTTCGTCTCCCGCGTGGACACTCGCAGCCCACCGACTTCAGCTTCGAAGCTCCTCTCCCTTTTCCCAGATAGAAATTCCCTCTAACAAGCTGACCCCGCGCTCCCAGAAGACCGGGACAATGCAGCGACCCACGGGGGCCAGGCAGAGCCGAGTTCCTGGGCCCTGCGAGGAGAAACCCGAGCCTGCTTTCCGCGGGGGCTTCGCTCGAAGACGCGCGCAATGAGCGCCGCGCGCCGCGGGCACCAAGCGTGGACGCTTTCCCCGGCCCAGGCCGGCGCCGGCCGCTAACACCGACCCCAGGGCGCTGTCCCTGCCTCCTGCTCCTGGCAACTTCCCCCTGGGAGTCTCCAAGTTGATTTTCTATATGTTAGCCTTTTTTTGTTTTGTTGGGTTTGGGTAGGCTGAGTTGGGGAGCGCGCTCCGTGGGGAGACTGGGTGAGCGATTGATTGCAAACGGTTCAAGATCTCTTGGGGATAATATTATTCGGGAGGCAGACCTGGAGCGACTTGGATCTCCTTCAAGGATTTCTCCTTCCCTCTAGGAATCCCGGACAGTTTGTTTATTTGTGGACTGATTGTTTATTTCTTCCACACCTCAATAATCAGATCCCCTTTTCCCACTTCCCCTGAAGGAGTGAGACACTCCTTTAAAAGGGCTAAATACGGGCAGAATTTTGGAATTTGCTTGTCTGGTTGGGCAGTGAAGAGAGCTTCAGACAGAACATTTGTATTTCGGGTTTCCTTGTCCCTTCCTGGCTGTTCATCGGCTGCGTATTCGATTCTCAGCAAAAGGATGTTAAGAGAACCCACCAGGCCTCTTCGCTTCGGGGAGGTGACTAGAAGGCAATCGGGGTGTGCTAGTCATTTCAAATAAAAGAACAGAAGACAAAAATGTATATGCATTATCTTTGTCTCCTGATCAATTCAAAGCCAAAGGGAAGCTACAAATCAGGTTCCTTTACCTTGAATATTCCACTTCTAGAAACATTGTTTTTATGAGTATTCTGGGCTTTTTTTCTAACCTGATGCTTTTTCTTCTTTCTTTGAAACAAAGTGAAATAAAGCTGCCCAGTTCTCAGCTCAGAGGCAAATAATTTGAGCTTTCTGCCCCAACCCTAAACTCCCACCATGACTTTATTATTTTTTAATACCGCTAGTATTTCCGCATCTAGCTTAAAAAAAAAAAAAAAAAAAGGACTCCAGTAAAAAGTGCCCTTCTCCTGCAGCGCACGACAGGCACACTGAGTTCGTGTCACGATTTTACTGGAAATGCAAACTATTGATCAAGAAACACTCCTCAGCCTGTAGGCTTCCTGCAGGAATATTATTTACTCTGCTTTTACGAGGTGTGTGTGTGTTTGTGTGTGTGTGTGTGAGAGAGAGAGAGAGAAACAGCTTTATCACAGCAAAACCTAAAATAGCTAAGGACTATGAAAAAATAAATTCCAAAATGGCAGTTGCTGCCTGCGTTTGTATTTACAAGGATGTCCAGGTTTAAACCTATGTCATCTGGGGAAACAAACCAAAAAACCCGCCTGAATCGAGTCGCCCAATATATTAACCATCCTCCCCTGCCCCAGAGAAATGAAAAGGGGAGAGGAAAGAAATTCGTATAATCAAGACTGAAAAGGTGAGAGAGACACTTCCCTTTGCCCCTGGAATTAGGTTTCTTCCCTGCTCAGAGGGACTCCGGGAAAGATGTTTGTTCAGGTTATTAAAACAACGCCTTTCACACACCTGGACTTTGCAAAAACCGTATTTCCGAGCTTTTCTTTAACCTGCCAAAGTATTTTGGATGGGGGGTTGCTACTTTCTGGCTGACTTTCCCCCTTCTTGACCTCACAAGTCAGTGAGCCGAATGCGGAATCGGGTCCCAGAGGGCCTCGCGTGTTCCTGGAATAATAAGCGGCGATAAAGACGAAAGGTATTTAATTCGCCTTCCACCCCCACCGCGCTGCGCTCCTCCCGGCCCGTGGCCGCTGCACCTGGAGCGGCTGGGCGGACTCCATGGGTGTTGGCGTCATCTTGAGGCCAACCAGGGAACTACAACGATAAAAGGAAAAAGAAAAAGACCGCCCGGTCCTCCCTGCTTATCATGAAGGTGCTGACACCTTGTGGATACCCCTGGGCATTGCACGGCAGGAATGGAGCCTTCAAAAATCCGTAAAAGCAAGGAAACGGGATAAACTGCGCCGCGTCGATTAAAACTATTTCCCATAGCTTTGCAATCTGTCAAGAACACGATCTGTTGGGAAACAAAAATGTCTTTGCAACTGCTCGGGGAGCAAGAAATTTTCTCTAGGGAAACTTGCTGAGGTTTTCAGCAAATCAAACCTATGCCTCTTAGGTGGCTAGAAATGTGCATGTTTTTCCCCCAGAGCTGTTGAACAAATTGCCTCGTCCTTGTTTTCCTGCTGCAGCTGTCCTTCTGCCCGAGGTGTGGCGTGAGCGTCAGGGAATTCATCAGAAAGCTATTTGTGCTGGGCGTGTGTTTAGAGGGTTGTCTTGAACAAGAGGAAGACTTTGAAACTGGCAGCAGGCCACTTCCGCTTTTGAGGCACAGCAGAGAACACAAAGAGGGGACAAGTGAAAGGAGTTTTGTTTCTTCTCTCACGATTTCCCATTCATTCATTTCAATATCCTTCAAACATTTCTTTTCTGGGGTCACGAGGTGCCTTGGTTTTAGGGAAAGGGATCGCGTGGCAGAGGAGTCCCAGGCTTCCAGAAGCTGCTTGGGAGGAGCCCTTGGATTACATAAAGTCAGCGCCACCTCCTAAAAATCCATCGCAATCCGGCTTCTGGAGATTCTCTTTTGTGGGACAAAAAAAAAAAAAGTGTCTTTTCTAAAACTCAGTTCAAGCTCATTTTACTGTGCGTGAGTTTTCTGGTGAGTGAAAGCCACATGGTCCCATCGACAAATGGCAGGGCCAGAAAGGACTACAAAAGCGGGTGGGTAATGAGGACCACTCTTGGTTAAAAGGATTAAAGAAACTCAACAACTAAACACAATCCTCAATCCTAGGTGGAAGAAAGTTTTAAACAGCGATCAAGGACAGGTTTGAGGATACTTGGGGAAATTTGCATCTGGGGTGTGTATGAGATAATAATCTTGTATCAAGGGTAAGATTCTTGTGTGCGATAATTATACATGGTCAAGTAAGAGCGTGTCCTTGCTTTTAGAAGGTATGTGTCAAAATATTTGGGACTGATATTCATCATCTCTGCAACCTTTAAAAAATTTACCCTGCTGGGCGTGGTGGCTCATGCCTGTAATCCCAGCACTTGGGGAGGCTGAGGTGGGAGGATTGCTTGAGCTCAGGGTTTCGAGACCAGCCTAGGCAAAATGGTGAGACCCTGTCTCTACAAAAAAAAAAAAAAATTAGCCGGGCATGGTGGTGAGCATCTGTAGTGCCAGTTATGTGGGAAGCTGAGGCAGAGAATTACTTGGGCCTGGGAGGTGGAGGCTGCAGTAAGCCATGATTGCACCACTACATTCCTGCCTGGGACAGAGCAAGACTCTGTCTCAAAATAAAAAAAAATAAAAAAAATAAAAAGAAGGAGAAGGAGAAGATTCAAAAGATTCAACCAAGGTGGGGTCAAGGGGAGAAGGAGGGCAGAAGGCCATGAAAAGGTAGTAAGATGAGAGCAGTTGTTGAACCCATGGTGCCTGGGTATTCATTGTATTGTTCTTGCAATTCTGTAAATTTGAAATTTTTCAAAATAAAAAATGGGAGTAAAATACCTTTCTTACTCTGAACACTTGAAAAGAAATGTGACAGTAAAGGAAGGTCTTTCCATGG